GCGCTCATGAAAAGGGCCGGACAAATAACACACTGAGAGCCACTAACACCCTCCTCCCTCACCCCTCCTCCCTCACCCCTCCCTCACCCCTCACCCCTCCCTCACCCTGTTCTTCCGTCCCTCTCTCCCAGGCTGTCAGTGTGGAGTAATGCTGGGGGCTGTGAAGAACCAGTGAGTGAAGAGAGAGCAGCAGACGCTCACTCACAGAGAGACACTTGTACGACGGGGGAGAGGACCGACCGCTGTCCCACGGACGGATATTAAACACACACACACACACACACACACACTCTTACACTTTTTGCTGCGGTTCCATCCGTTGTGGCTGGACCTCTGGGGTTGGACGGAGGAGGGGGGGGGGTGGGGGGGTGGTGTTGGGGTGTTTGTCCTGGAAGTTGACGTGTTGACGACTTGTTTAAAACCTGTGTGAAAACGAATGCAGTGAGCTTCCATAAGGTGGCGCTAGGTGTGAATAGTGTTTGTTGATGTTTTGGATCATTTGAAGATTAATGACCTGTTGTCTTTCTACGGTGAATGACAACAGTGTCACCATCAGGTGACTGACAGAGTGACACCTGTGCATCGGTTTGGTTAGCCATCAAAATTTAAAAAAAAAAGTTTCTGTCTAGGAAACAGTTAAAAATACATGTGTTCTATTCAGGAACGCTTCAGTTTTAAAGATTTAGTTTTGAAAAGTTCAGTTTCTTCAGAGTCCAAGGAGTTTATTTAGGGCAGAGTTTGTGTGAACATCTACACGTTCTCTATAAATGACTTAGGCTAAATGAACTAACTAAATTAACGAAACGTTAATTGCAGTTATTAGTAGCCTTGTCTATAATGATGTGTTGTTTAAGCAGATTGTCCTAAGCAACGTCAAAATGCTAACTACTGTTTATACACACAAAGTTCTCATCTGTCCTGCCTGCGGTCCAGAACTGTTGGGAGAATGTGCCAGGACTGACCACAAACTGCTCACCTGCTCGTTTCTTTTTATCAAAAAGAAAAAACAGAATGACGCTAACTTAGTGAAAAGTTAATCACAGTTATTAGTAGCCTTAAAAGTGTAACACATCAATTTTGGTTTTAGTCCTAACACAGAAAAGAAAAATCTGTGTCAAAAAACAAAGAGCGTCTGTGAAGTCCTGTGAATGAGTGGCTCAGAGTTAGCTTCAACTTCACACTTGGTGAAGAAATACCTCAGCTGCTGACGAACGCGTCTTCGGGGAATTTCCTTTTACACTTGTTTGTGCGCACCAGGCTAGGTGTTTAATCTCTCATGCCGGTGGGTTTGAGGGTCAGAAAGTGTTCAGACATGAGGAAGAAGAAAGATGATGATGATGGAGTGAGATTCCAACGGAATTATCTCTCACGTTCAGACAACAGGAATAAAGAGGAGAAGGACAGCGTGTCCTTGTTGCTGTCACTGCAGACTGACGAATCGGTGAAATCAGACTGCGATCGTTCTTGGAAAGATTTCACGCTGAAGCTTTTGCTCTGCGTTTCTCAGTTTCACTCAGACCCTTCAGTGAGCTGTTTGGTTTTCTCATCTGTTTCCTCTGTGATCTGATCTTCTGAGGGTCAGCGGCGCCAAATGACTAAAACATGTGGGAGGTTGCCCGTAAATTCAAGTTAGCACGGACGATTCGCCACCTGTTTCCACAGGCTGCTGAGGTTGACGGGGAACAGCTCGACCTCAGCTCCGCTGCACTGGTGGAGGCTGAGTCAGAAAGACAAAATAATTCAGCAGACTCCCGACAGGTCGACCCAGCAGGACGGATGTAGTACATATTTTATTGGTTGTGTTTCATTTCATTTGTCACATTTTGGAGTTCAGTTTCGTTTCCTCGTGTCGTTGAAACAAATCGTCATTATAGTCTGTGCTGTCAGTCACAGAGTCAGTTACTGAAACCTACTTCACGTTACGTGATGACATTCGCAGCATCCAGGAGACGATTGAACGGCCTGAGAGCGTCAGGATCTCAGACCTGTTCTCTTTGTTTCTCCTGCAGAACTTTTTATTGTCTTTGTTTGTGAGTGGTACTGTTTTCACTCAGCGCTCACTGGAGATAGCTGAAAATGTCAGCGTGTCTCTGCAGGAACATTTGGTGGGAGTTTTGTCTTCACCCACAGCGGTTTCTTCTCCACTCCTGCAGCTCCTCGTGAAACGAGTCGTTAAAAGGCAGTCATTAAATTCGAGGCCAAATGGAATTAATGTGATATTTGGTTTGAACTCAGGAGGAAAAACACGTTTTTATTTTTTGTTTATTTTCTTGGTTAAATCAGTCTTTAACTATGGATTTGGTAAAGATTGAAGAAGTCAATCTTTACCTCGAGAGTTTCTGTATATGAATCAATATTTTTCTATCTATCTTTTCCATCCATCTGTATTTATATATTTATATATAGTATATATATATATATATCTTTTCCATCCATCCATCTATCTATCTATCTATTTTTCTATCCATCCAGTTTTATTTTTAGAACATACCCCACGATCACCTTAGACAGTCCACTAATGTTGGTGACCCCTGGTCTTTATGTAAACTTGTAAGAAATAATAGTGTTGTTCAGGCGGTTCCTCATCAGGACCAAACTTCTTGAACTTGTTCTTCTCTGCTGCCTGTCAGGATGTAAACTCAGTCCTGACCCCGGGTCAGTTGTGCTGCACCAGTGGTTGTACACTGGAGCGTTGGCTGTTTGTTTAAGGTCTGGATGTACTGTATAACAGGACTGAAGTCACAGTTCAGTACGTACCTCCGTATTGACACCATTGTTGTGGTACATTCTTGATACTAAAAGAGAAAATTTTGTCATTCATTTAAAAAATGGGAAAACGTCAGAGTTCTCAAACATAAAAAATAAAATCTTCAGTGCATGAAACCTCATGATTCCCATCTCTCTGTAGTCACTCTTCCCCACTTTCACTTCTGCATTTTCCTAGAAATAAAAAAGGCGTCAATTTCGGACCCAAACTTGACCACCAGGTGTAGCACTTCTGTTCTTCATCTCCCTCTAGAGCCTACAGTAGAGACTGTAATGGACTTTAATTTCCACATCAACCCACTTCTCATTATCACTGTACTTGACAGTGGTATTGATTTTTTTTTTTCCTGATCCATGTCGGTCCTAGTTTTTGAGGAGTGCAGCGATGAGCGTTAAACCACATGTTTGACCTTCGCAGACCGACCCCAAATGACCTTGAGTAAAATCAGAAGCTCTCTTATATACACTTGATGTGTTTCTGTGGAGTTACGTTATGGGGTAAAGTGATAGATTGCGGTGGGTCGCTGAGTATGTCTGTAATAGAGACCAGCGTCACTGCTGCTGAGGCTGTTTCCAGTAAATCCAGACCACATGGTAGATAGATGAGCAGCGAGATGGACTGATGGGCGTCGTGGATAGGTGGTGTGAAAAAAAAAGAGAGAAAAATGGTGGATTTTTTTGTCCTGCGGAGAAAAAGTTTGTCACAGGAAGACGACGTAAACACACTGTGATACGGAGCCAGGGTTTTATATAATGATATCCGACACCTGTTGTGTGTCTGTCTGAAGGAAGTGGACACAGTGATCTGGTTAGAGAAGTGGAGTTCCAGAAGTAGTCGTAATTTCTGGACTGGACCAGTGCTGTGTCAATGACAATCCCATTTTGATTTTTTTTTTTTTTTCGATGACAATCCCATTTTGATTTTTTTTTGTTTTTGACAAAACAATAGAAGAAATGGTTTTCATGAGGAGACACTGAGACACTAGGATCATTCTAAATCATTGTTTCCCAAAGACTGGGTCGTGACCTTCAGGTGGGTTGCAAGAGTTTTGTGAATTTAAAATGTGGGTCACCAGAAAAAGTTTGAGAAACACTGGTCTAAACTGGTGAAGAACAGACAGATTATTTATTTAACAGTGTTAACTTTTGGTTTGAAGAACGACAGATTCTTTATTTAACAGTGTTAACTTTTGGTTTTGATTTCTGAAGTTGAGCCTCAGCAAAAACATACAACTGATGAGTTTAACATATATGTTGAGATGGAATGAAGCTAAAGAAACGGTTAAATAGAAGTGGATTTAAAAAAAAAAAAAATTCCAGCTTCACTCTAAGAGAACACTTTGAGAGAAATTTTGAAACGTAATCCTCCAAAAACTTTTAAAATTAAGTACATTTTCAACAATGCAAGACTCATTTTTTATTTTATTACATGTATTTTATTATATATATATTGCAATATATCACATTTTCACATCTCATTTATACACATAGTATATTATTTTAAATGTATTATTTTGCTTTCCAGAGATTCTGTAAGTGCCGTTTGTTGCACTTAGTGCTGCTTGAGTTTATTTTTTTGTGCAGTATTTGAATATTATTCTTTCAATTATCCAGTAACAGTTCTACAGGAGTAAACCTGATGAATTACTGTGATTTTATCGACCAAAATAATCCTGACTGTGATTTTCTTCCAGACTGAATTTTGGATTTTTTTATTTTAAACCCAAGACTCAGGCTGTTGGTGTGACTGTTTGTCTGGCCGACTGTTTTCGTGACTACTTTGTTGTGTGTTTAACAGCCCTCTGCAGTATTCACACCGGTGTGTGAAGTTTTCTCTGTGACAGTTCGTAAATCAGTCCCGGCCTCAGGCCACAGGTGGCGCTGTTGGTGCCCGTGATGGTGCGGCCCTAAAATGACCGGAACACAACGGTCACGGCCGACAAACGCAGAACAGGTTGCTGCGGCGTAGAAAACAGGCAACCTGCTGCGGAATGTCCTCGCTCGGACGCGTCGAGGCACGAACGGACGTTTGGTGTGTGCACATGTGTGAGCGCTTCGTGTGGCAGAGGCCTTTGAAGCACGTACGGGTCAAGGAGGAACGAGGGTGGGGCGCTCGGGTGGAGGAGGAAGTGTGACCCCTACCACAGGTTGCCGGTGACCCCTCTGGGGTTAGAGTGCCCTCTGGAGACCTGTGGGAAGATGTCTCCTTTGAGGAGGTGATTTATCGTGGCCACCTGGAGGAACTTCTCAAACGCTGCTCAGACAGGTGTGGTCCGCCGGGGGTGGGGTCGGGGGGGGGGGGGGGTGGTGACCGACCGAGG